TCATTCCAGCCAAGGTAACGAAAAAAGCTGAACCATCAGATTGGAACCTCAAACAATGAGTAGGATTTTGAGACATGTGGATAGAAGAAAGACGTTTCAACAAAAGGGCATAGCTTGAGCTAAAGTGTGAAATTAACTATCTGCAGAGCATGTCCAAGTCATAGGGAGCAGTTGGGTTTATTGGAGGTGTACGTCATGGGTTAGGAAATAGAGATAAATCTGAGTAGGCAAAAGGATTTGAACATTATTTAGTACTCAGGGAAGAGTCAATGTGATGATAAGAACAGTGACTTAAGGAAATAAATTAGATTTGAGTGGCAGAACAAATATGAAGGAGAAGGAAAGGTAAGTCAGAACACTATTGCCAAAAAAGTAGAGCATAGCTTTTCTAAGAAATGGAGTAGAGGTTACTGTCTACTTGGGCAATGCTTCTTAATCTTTTGGGGGCCATACTCTCCCTTTAGAATCTTTTGAAAGTGACAAACCCTCACTTCAAATAATATTATATAGACTCCACACAAAAATTTTGCCTGCCATTTCATATACCCTTGAAGTCCATCCAAAGACCCAAATTTCAGAATCATTTTTTTATTTACTTCAATATGATGTTCTATGCTAGTCAAACATTTCTTAAGCAAATCATGACACTCCTCAACTGCTGTGAATCAAGATTAGCATTAGAGTTTCTCATGACATTCATGACAGTGGCGGTTCCACCAATTTTGGTAATCATGGTGGACTGAAGGCATGATCCTTTAAAAAAGGAAAAAATCTCTTTCTATTCTCTTGACCTTCCTGCAGGTTTCACTGAAAATAGACACGTTCAGCTTGTCTTTTTTCCCTCTCTGCTGCCTCTCCCTCCTGTCGCCCCTAATGACTGTGACCTTAATGACCTTTCAGAATATCCATCTGGCCCTTTTTCTCCTCAACCTCGCAACACCATACCTGCTACACAAGGGTTTGGATCTCATAATATTGTTCCTAAGCCTGGCCTCTCTCCCTGCCTGGCGTTGTGTGCCTGCCACAAGACCAGGCTGGCTCGTAAAACATCTCTTTATGTATTTTATTACTTAAACTCTTTTATTTGCCTGCAGGAGCCCTTTAACAAAATCACATTGAATTGACTTTCTCACACCAAATCAGATCTCCCTGGTCCCAGTTCAGTTGTCTTTGTCAATATGTATTTTATAAATGGAGTGAATTAACAGATGCTGTTGGAACAGAAGTGCTGGGGTAGCGTTTATGTTTTTAGTGCTCTCCTTGGGCAGACGAGTTGTGCAGGAGTGTTATACACGTACCTTGGGATGAAAGTCAGGCTTGTCATTACAGTGGCTATGTATTCTTAACCATTTTCTTTGAATATATTTTAAACCTCTTTATTGCCCTTATTCTTAGTGTTTGCTTACATGGTTTTATCACTGATGCCATTAATCTTGGCATGGACTTGATTATATCTCTTGGTATTAAAGGATGAACATTAAAAACTCTCTATCATTCAAAGAGGACAGGATTCTCTTTTAGCCGTAAGAAACTGATCACCACAGACGTTTGAAACACAGTATCTTATTTCTTTTGTAAATGTTGTCCATGAAGGCTTTGATATGAAACTCTGGGTTGAAATTGTTTGGGAATAGAATACTGAGTTTTCATGTTGTGGGTTTGGACTTCGGAAGAATGAATGGCTGCTGCTGTTTGTTACCTAAGGTGGAATTTGGGAACTTTGCAGAGGGGAATATAGCACAGAAACTCAAGGTGTAAAAGTGGTGTGGAATATTTCCTGGGAAGATTTCCATATGACATAATGAATTTTTGAGAAGTGTGATGTGTAATTGCTGTAAAATATTTTGCAACGATTTGGGGGAGCCTTTTTGCTCTACTCTTTCTCATTTTTGTGATGGTAACTATAGAGCCATCTACTGGCGAAGGCAAGCACACATTTCCTTTCTTTCGTGCTCTGCCACCAATTTTATGTTTGTCCTGAGAACGACTATTCACAAATCTTTTTTTTTCATTCTTCTAGACCTAAAATATAATCCCTTGGCTTAAAATGTGGTTCCCGTGCTCCATCCTAGAGTTCCACAATGAGTGGTCATATTCTGGACTCTGTTCTTGACTACTGTCCTGTTTTTATCTCAAAAGCATGAGTCATGATTCTTGCTCTTTTTTTAGAAACTTGGAGCACTTGTTTTGCAGATTTAACAATTTAGGAATTCGTCAGGCCTGTATGTTTCTCAATACTTTCTTTTTCAGCAATAGACATTAAATAAGTGTTGGTAAGATATTTGCAATATTCATAATATTGTGAGTAAAAAATTCTTTCCTCTACTATATCCTCAGTTGTATCCAATGCAATGGAAGCCATCCATTGGAGATATATGCTGTTTTGAAAGACAATAGATGCTATTTGATCTCAAAAATAAATGTCTAATAGTTCAGTGCATCCTGTACCGCTTTAATAACATCTGCCTCTTGTTCAAAGAGCATCTCTACCTTTATACAAATTTAATGAAGAACCTCTGGAAAGAATAGATCAATCCATCAATAATATATGACTTATTTTGTTTTTCTTTGGGCATATTTAAAATGGTGCGTTCTGTGTGTCAAAGTTCAAAAGTCAAGCGCTACATGTGATAAATTAGGTAGAGGTCAAAAGTTATTGCAATGCAGTTTCACAAGATTGTCTGTCTCTGAATTTGCAGCTCATTCATGCTGAAGTGATGCACTATGGGAATTACTACCAAACTCTGCTCAGCAACATCTGCTCTCCCTAAGTGAGTTAGTGCACGTCAGACATCTTTATGTCAGAATATTGCAGTGATGGATGCAGTCTTCAGAAAATGCTGCATAAAAATCTGGTGTGCCGTTCTGGCCATTAAGTGAAATTACTATTTGAATTAATGGCACTGTCACAGTTTATCTGTGCAAAGAATGAACGCTGATTAGGGTATTAAGTAATTAGCAATTTATCACACTGGAACAAGGTTGATAATAATTAAAGAAGTAATGGTTTACCAAAGAAACTCGAAAGGGAGTCACTTCTTGTTATGTGAGCGAAATCTTGGCTGAAAATTTTAATTCAGTGAAACAAAGATGAAGCTCTTTGTGAAAGAAAGCATCCTTTTTTTCTAGTGGCAAAACAGTTCATTATCAAAATTTTAGTTGACCTGTCAAAAGTCCCTGAGAGCGAGCAGATGACTGATTACGAGTTTCGAATTAGGTCAATGTCTGAATTTTGATTTTATACTTAAAGCCTGGTGAAACCATAAAGTAATTTAGGAGTTGAGAGGAAGAATGTATTCTGCTCCCTAAAGGGCCGGTTTTCGGATTTTGATTGCTCTTTAAAATAGAAACGTGAATTATTTTAAGAAAACTGCTAGAGAAAAAGATGACAGTAACGAACCCAAGGTTATATTTAAATGTCTGATTAGAAAGCAGCAAAAAAAAAAAAGGTCAAAACAATATAAAACTTGAAGCTGTGGGTTTTCTTTTTATTTTATGTATGTGTGTGTATTAGATATATGTCATTTTCACTCATCATAATCGAGACTTGCACTGCAATGATAACCCTGCTGTGTGTATATATTTGAAAGAACTTTTTCCTGGAAACGTTGAAACAACTATTATTATTACTTTATAATTACCTGTAAACCAATTACTTTGAACAGTACTCACATTTCAACATGGTGTGTCAAAACTCAGTTATGATCATTGTATATCACTAATCATAAATAAAAAATTTAAAATATTGGGAGATATTTTTTAAAGTGGAAAGATCAATGAGCGGGTTCTTTGGAGTCATATGTGGACAAACATCTTTCTTAAGGCATGTGCCAAGGCAGCGTCTACTTTCAATAATTTTTTTTTAAAAAGCACTTAAAACTCATTGGTCTGTTATTAGGAGTGTCTTTCATAATGTAGGTGTTTGTATAGGACCAGGTTAAACAATACAGGACCCCAGGCCTCGTTGAAGTTGAAGTTCTTTATGTTATCAGGCAGGACTAATAAGAAATAAACAAAATTCTAATTAAAATAAGTCATTCATTACATTGTGCTGCTATATAACTGGATATAAATTCTCATATGATAGCACTGTGACATGGGTGATAGGCACCTTAATTTCTAGCTTAATCTGCCTCTAGGGTATTGTTTATTTATTGAGGTTTTTATGTCTAAATTTCTGCTGTATCTCTTCTATGGCGAGATCGAAGTGATGTGAACACAGGCAGTTAAAGTGAATTCGGTGGGAGAAAGGATGTATCTCAGGCGCACATGTCTTTCATGGAGAGGTAAAGATCAATGGTCCTCCCTCCGAGGTCTTTCTGTCACTGTCCCCAGCCCCCTACCCATGTCTAGTGATGGGTCTAGGATACAAATGGTGGCCAAAGGGTTGACTTGTTCCGTGAGCGTGCTCAACTGAACTTGAATACAGATCTATCTCATGAAGAAAGAACGGTTACCATTGCTGCTGGACTCACAAGAAGCAAATGTTTGTACCCTAGACAAAGCCAGGTAAAAACTTACAAGACTCCTACCACCACGTCTCCAGTTCTAGGATGGTGCTGCCCCTCCATTCTGTCTAGCCTCTTATCCCGGAGTGCTTGGGTGACCTTTTCTCCCTTGTGAATTTCTAGACATTTCTTGCGAGTCCATCTAGTTTAACTACCCCTTCTTCTGCAACAAGATGTTCTCATCACAAAATGGGCAGGCAATTCTTATGACAGAAATCAGATCTATTTGTGGGGAGTTTGGGAGAAGTCTGGCCCCGCTGAGTCATTTTGGAACACTTCCTCTTGTGTGTTCTTTACCTAATTAGTGCCTAGTTCTCTTGGTAAGAAGGACCCTCACAGCACTTTTAAATCATCTTGGTAAGGAAATGCTACCTGAGGTACCCTTTCAGCAACTGCCTGAGTCTGACGTTTTTATACCAAGCTTTACAGCAACCTCCTTTTTCTTCCCTTTTTTTAAATTTCATATTCATATATAACATTTTATTGTTGCAGGGATGTTCTGTTGTGGGCAGGATTATGTGAATATGTCAGATACCATATGCTGCTCAGCTTCCAGTGGAGAGTCTAAAGCACATGTTAAAAAGAATGACCCGGTGCCAGTAAAATGCTGTGAGACTGAACTTATTCCAAAGAGCCAGAAATGCTGTAATGGAGTTGGATATAATCCTTTGAAATATGTTTGCTCTGACGAGATTTCGACTGGAATGATGATGAAGGTAATTGATGGAAAACCTCTCCGAGGCGCTGATTTGACAATGGAAAGAGAAATACATTGTTCATAACTATTTTTCTAAAACAGGAATGTAAAAACTCCTGTGTGCATTATTCATTTTCACATTACATCCATATTAATACCAAATGAGTTCGCTGTGATTGATGTTATTGCAATGAATTCTAAAGGAATTAATAATGATTAGCTGTTCTGAGGAAGCTTCAGCCAGCACTTCAGATTAGTGTAGAACAGAGAGTCTGTGCGCCAAAGGAAGTTGTCTGGGACCTCTGCATGGCGCCATTTCATGCCCGGGGTTGCTGTAGAGGGAGACGGAAGGAAATTCCAGCTTCTTCCCTCTAGACCTCCCACCTGTCATCCACCGCTTTCCTTGTATAGAGACCTTATATCCAGCACATTCACTTAGTTGTGTTTACAGTGCATTCCTTGCAACAATGCGAGATGAACAAAGGCCTGTCAACCACAAAAGTGGATCTGCCTTTGGGTGTATCATTTATGTTTATATACAAAGATACTTCACACACAGCAATGTCATGTTTGTTAGCATTAAACTTGACCCAGGATTCCAGCAACCTACCATTTGAAGGAAAGGATTATGGACATTTAAGAAGAGAACACCCTACCATGTTCTGTAGTAATTTGTGATCGGGAGACGACTCAAAATGGGTGTTTTGGTCACAGACAATGGAAGGGCTCTTAGTGACTGAAGCAACTATACAATTGTTGTGTAGACATCATATACTGTGGGATGTAAAATAAATCTTGAGATTATTAGGGCCCCCAGCATGCGCTTTGTAGCAATGAACATGAAGAAAATACATAAAGTTGTTGAAGATAATAGGTATTTAATGAAGAGAATAATCATACAAAATACCCACCAAAAATAGTTTTTGTCTACAAAAATTCCTTAAAAATTGGTCCTACCTTTTTTTTTTTTTTTTTGAGGAAGATTAGCCCTGAGCTAACATCTGTGCGCATCTTCCTCTACTTTATATTTTGGATGCCTGCCATGATAAGCAATGCGTAGGTCCACACCCGGGATCCAAACCTGTGAACCCCTGGCCGATGACACAGAGCGTGGGAACTTAACCACTATGTCACAGCCAGCCCCAAAATCGATCATCTATGCAACTTCAATTAATCAGTTCTATGAAAGAAATATATCCAACGCTGTGTTCCGGAAGTTTAAGCTTATTCCAGGCCAATGTTTTCAAAAGTTTGGCCTAGAACATTTTTCTTAAATACGTAGTATTTTCCGGTCTTAAAACCTGGCGATGGGCCTGGCCCAGTAGCATAATGGTTAAATGTTCATGTTCTGCTTCGGCAGCCCAAGGTTTGCTGGTTCAGATCCTGGGTGCAGACCTAGACACCACACATCAAGCCATGCTGTGGTGACATCCCACATGGAAGAACTAGCAGGATGTACAACCAGGATATACCACTATGTACTGGGGCTTTGGGGAGAAAAAAACAAGAGGAAGATTGGCAACAGATGTTAGCTCGGGGCCAATCTTCTTTACCAAAAAAAAAAAAAAAGCATACCTTAACAAAAAGAAAAAAAACTTTAAAAATAATAAATAAATAAAGAGGGTCTGGTAAGAGAGGTCAGCAGAGTACCTCCATATTAAAAAAAAAAAAAAAAGCTGGCGATGTTACAAGAACGTGTCTTTAAAACAACGAGTTAGGAAGCATCTATGAAGAAAATGCTCCATAAAAAGGCACTCATATTTGAAAAATGAAGATAGGAAACCTGTTAGTTTCGTAAATGAGACTGTTGCTCACAACTGTTCATTTCATTATTGCTCTCCTCACATTTGTTTCCGCCTAACATCTCATTTTTGTTTCAGGAAACTATAGTTTCCATTATTTAAGAAAGATGTTCACAGTTATGTCCATGATCCTTTAAATTGGCTCGAATTGGCTTTATGAAGGCCAATTATCAGTTCTATTTAAAATTCATATTTAAATTACCATGATTAGGAGAATATTTCTGAATGCTACATCAACCCATGTCCTATAAGTAAAGCTGAAGCCATAGACTCCATTTTGTTTCCCTGGAGACTTCCATCCCGTCTCCAGTCTGGCTGGATCACACTGGGATTTCTGCACAGCTATCCAGTGGGTCCTCTTGAAGCTATTAGTTTGGGAATTCCTCTCCATCCTCTCCTGTGTTGGTCTCCCTGTGTTCTGAACCCCAACTGTCCCTCTTTCTCACCTTACTCCCTTCTCTTGGGGAATTATCTTCCTGGGTACAAGTGCATGAAAGGTAAATTTTTTGAGAGCCTGATGTCTAAATTATTATTCTCCCCTCCCACTGGATTGATAGCTTGGCTAGGTATAAAATCCAAGGTTAAAATTTATTTCTACTCAGGATTTTGAAGGCATTTCTGCATTTTTGCACTTCCATTACTATTTCCAGTCCTGTCTCTTTATAGTTGATCATGTTGTTTTTCCTATAAAAGTTTTTAAGGCATTCTTTTTATCCTGCTTTTCCAAAATTTCCTGACAATGTGCTTTTATGTGGATGATATTATCATTATCATTATTATTCATATTCATTTTTATAATAATGGGCTTTTTGTGGACTTTTTCAGTGTGGCGTCTCATAACCTTCAGTTCTGGAGAACGTTACTATTTCTTTGACAATTTCCTTCCTCTTTTACCTCTGTTTTCACTCATTAGTTGGATGTTGGACTTCCTAAGCTGATGTTTTATTTTTTCTTCTTGTTTCTTGCCTGCCGATTAAATCTGCATCTTTCTCAGTTTGATGAAATATTGCCTTAACTTTATCTTCCAACCTTTCTATTGATTTGTTGTAGGGTTTCTTTTAGGTTTTTTTTAGTTTTAGTTTTTAAGGCTCTTTCTTGCTTGCTGATTGTTATTTATTCACGCATCCTCCTCTTGTTTCATTCGTGGAATACCTCTTTTATCCTTCTGGAAATATGAATTCTATTGTTGCTTTTTTATTGTTTGTTTACTTGATTCCTTGAATTATCTCACTTGTTCGTTTGGAGCTATTTTAGTTTTCTTTTCCTTGCTTTGTTTCTGCTTCCTCTGGCTTCCTTTTTCCATGATGTAAAATCTCTTCTTTCCATTGGGGGCTGATTGAAATCTCACTATGCGTGGGCATCCATTAGTGGGGAGCACAATGGGTTAATCAAGGGGCAGAATGACTTTTTGTCAAGGAACCACATGACCAAGAATCCTTAACAAGTATTTTTACTTTACAAGTAATGACTCAGTCTTACTCCTCCATGCTGGGTGGGGATGGTATGTATGCCTGTTGCCAGCATATGAGGAACCCAGTGAGAAAGGAGACTCAGGTTCTCACTGTACAAATACAGACTTTTATTTCATTTTCCCACTCTGGCGTCTGGTTTACTCCTTCCAGTGGACCCTCTCTGTTCCTTTTAATTTCATCAATTCTTTTCTAAGCTTATCTCATTTTGCGATGCTTTGCCATACGCAGCTAGTAACAACATACACGTTCTGCTAATGTTCCAGCTTACGACCTCTTCCCCTAGAGCTGTGAGCTCAGGAGCACTTGGCTGACTTCAAGTCTTGTTCCAGGGCACAGTTTTACTGAATATTTGTGACAGCATAACGGAGGTCCCCAACCTCCCAAACACCAACATGGAGTTCTTTGCCACTGGCTGCTTAACTACTAAGCCATTGCTACATATTTTAGGGTCTTCTTGTGGTTGTTAAGGCAACATCCAACTTCAAAGTACTAATTTATGTTTTAGCCAGGACACACTGAATGATGCTGAGGAAAAAACAGATGTACTCATGTAAGGAATGGCTCAACAGAATTAACTTCTTTAAAAAAATGTTTTCACATTGCCATCCAATGTGAGTCAAGCAGTTTCCTCCAAGCAACGTCTCAGGAACCCAAGCCCTTTGCACCTTGTGGACTCAGGCCACGGTGGAAAGGAGGAGAAATTGTCTGCTTGCGCGTTTATGGGTCTTACTTGGCTGCAGAATGCATCCTTTCTGTATACTAGTCACACAATTTCTAGTCCCATGACTCCTCTTATGGCAACTGGACTTGAAAATCTAATATTCCCAGGGACAAAAGAGAAACATGGACACAACTGGTCACATGGCATTGTGTCTGCCATATCCATGTACTTCCCAGCTCCCAAAGATGTTTGAGCTGTCCTGTGTGGGTTAGTTCCTTTAGACTTTCGATATTCCTTTGCTGTCATTTGATTGGGCTTTAGGAGGAAGTGGATATAAATGCAGCTGTTCAATTCATCTTATTTAAATGGAAGTCTTACTATATTTTTCTGAAGCAACTTTATTTTGACCACCATTGCGATAGTAATTTAACTTATGTAAGAGAGAGGTTGCATGTAGATCAATTTTAAGTAGCAAAAATTATTTTAAATACACTATACTACCTATGTAAAGTATAGATAAAGTCAAGCTCTGCATTATAGAATATTGCCTTATTTATATATCCTGTAATTTGGGATGATGGAGTATTTCATTTTGTGAGATTAGAACACACTGGTACTTATCAATCACTATAAACAATCCAGAGATTCATCAAAGTTTACAAATATAAACAATAGTAATTATAATGACAGTTCACGAACTATTTAGATTTTCTAAAACTTGGATGAGGGTATTTATGAGTCCAATATTCCCAACAGCACAGGAAGTACAGATCCTCGAATATCCAATTCTTGATTTTCTCTAAAACTCCATTAGGAAACTGTCAAAGTAACAATAGTAAAATAGTGACAACTGTTATTATTTAAGGTGTATCTACTAAGTGTAAGGCATTTGCAGGTGTTATCTCATTTGATTCACACAACAACCTTGTGTGGCAAATCTAATTTCCATTTTCTCACTGAAAAAGCTGAGCCTTTGAGAACATTAGCGACTTGCTCAAGGTCACAGAACTAGAAAGTTGCAAAACTGAATTTTGAATCCACATCGGTGCCATTTCAAAGTAACTGTTCTTTCTAGTGTACAGAATATGTTCATTTCTTCTAATGAATGTTAAAATATGCATTCATGAACTAGGGGAAAGAAAATTTCATTTGAAAATTGTTAAAACCTACCCCATGTGTCTAAATGAAATTTAAAATCCTCTTCTCCCTCTCTCCCCATCTCTAACACTTGACTTAGGAACCCACAGAGTGCCGGACTCTCTGCCCAGCATCCATGGAAGCCACAGCACATTGTGGCAGGTGTGATTTCAACTTTACCAGTCACGTATGTACTGTGATAAGAGGATCTCACAATTCTACGGGGAAAACGTCAATCGAAGAAGTATGCTCATCTGCGGAAGAGACAGTTCATACAGGAAGTGTAAACACATTCTCCTTTACAGGTAACAGAAAGGGAGCCCCCTGCCCCTAGCTTAGCAGGGGTAGCGAAAAGCTACAGAAAATACAGATTAATTTCTCTCCAACATCATCTCCCTTCTTAACCTACTATCAATTAATTCCATCATACTTGTGGTCCAGCTAGTTACAAGACAATTAAAGGCATAATCTGGATTTGTTCAAAGTTAGTAGTTTAAATTTTTTTAAAGGCTAACTTTAAATAAGGATGTATAGTATTTTAAAGTAAATCTGTAGAGAATGAAGAACAGAGAAATAAATAAGTTATGTGCCCTTTTATGGTGTATCCTGTTAATTTTCAATGAGCCCAAGTTTCTTTCTCAAAAGTTTGAATGCAGACTTTCAAGAAACGCAATGAATGAACGTTGCTATACTTGCCAGGAGAAAAGAGGAAGGATCCTGACTGATCGATAGTGAGACCTGGCAGCATTATTCTGACGAAGGGGCGGACGACTCAGTGTAAAGTCAATTTCCCTTTCCTGATCTTGGGTCTGGGTCCAGAGTAGGCATGCTCCCACAGCCTGGTGTTTCCCCAAGATGGCCATCATCTGAGAACAATAACCTTCACAGTTATTGAAAAGATTAATTTCCAAGCCCCATCTCGGCCCCCACTGAATTAGCCCAAAATAGTGGTTCTCAGGCCTGGCTGAGCCAAGTGAAAAACACTGTAAAGTTTCGAGTCATCCTCAAAAGAGTTCTGCCATCTATTAAATTTTTATTATTCATCCATTTACTTAAGTCCCTACAGAGTTTGTTTCTGTCTTTTGAAAAATTAAGTGTGAGTGTGTAGCTGTGTGTGTGTATGTACATATATATATATCATCTACAATCAAACAGAATACTTTTAAGTGACGTAATTCAAGCAAGCTAAGGTTAAATAAACAAAAAACTGTTCTATTCTATCAGGACTCATTATTCTGCCTTGTATTCAACCAATGATGGGCGATGATGGCAAACCTCAGGCATGCAAAAAGTAAGGCAAGATACTTGGATGGGAGAGCATAGATTAAGGAGGAAGGAAGGAATAAAGTTTATTGACCATTATTTAGTTCCAGGGCTATGCTAGGTGCTTTAAAACCTTACGTTAATTTACCCAGAAAGCAATCAGGTAAGTATGATCATTTCACAGATGAGGAAACTGACACTCAGATCTGTGAAAGTAACTTGCTGTGGTAAGAAGTCAGATTCAAACCATGTCATCGTCAAGAGCTGCAGATTGACAAGACTCCACATGGTAGAGGTGCTCGTTTCAGAGAGCTCCAAGCCTCCCTCAAGCTGTTCCTTCCACCTGAAATATCCTCCTTCACCATCATACTCAAGGCCTAGGGCAAGATTCATGTCCTGGGTGCAGGCATCCCAAGTCCAGGCCCCTGTCTCCTCTGTGTACATCGTCACAACATTCACCACCTCACCATGTGTCTTATGCATTCGTCCCATCTTTCCTATTAGATGGAAATATCCATGTGAATAGGACATCCTCGTTCACCTTCATTTTGGGCTTTAGCACACTGTAAGCATGCAAAAAAAATACTTACTGGAATACATTTCACTGGGAGAGGCCTCAGGATAGAGGCCACTTATCTACCCCTCCAATGTCCTCCCACCCCCAGTATAGATTTAAGTCAGGGACCCTCATTTAAAAATGATTGGCTTTCACGACTTAAGTGCCCATTAACAGATGAATGGATAAAGAATATATGGTATGTATCTATCTGTCTGTCTCTATATATGGATACACACACACACACACACACACACACAATGGAATAGTACTCAGCCATAAAAAGGATGAAATCTTGCCATTTGTGATAACATGGACAGACCTTGAGGGTATTGTGCTAAGTGAAATATCAAAGAAAGACAAATACCATAGGATGTCATTTATCTAAAAGATTTTTTTAAAAAACTATAACAAACAAACACATAGATGCAGAGGCCAGATAGGTGGTTACCAGAGGGGAAGGCAGTCAGGAGAGAGCAAAAGGAGGACAGGGGACATTTGTATGCTGACGGATGCAAACTAGACTTTTGGTGGTAAATACAAGGTAGTCTAAATGGAAGTCGAAGTATAACGATGTACACCTGAAATTTATATAATGTTATACACCAGTTACCTCAATAAAAAAATAAATAAATAAATTCCTTTCCAACTATGAAAAAAATTTGAAAATAAACTTAAATAAAAATGATTGGGTTTCCATCTAAGACAGTTCCCTACTTTTATCTGCTCTTTGTAATCAAGGTCAAGATTTTGAAGGGCTTTTGAGACATATTTGCAATAGCCTTTCCAGCAGAGAATAGATGTTTCCACCTAATGATATAATATTATGAGGGATTTTAACATCCATATTTCCTATTTCTTTGCCTACCAGAAAAATACTATAAATCGCATAAGAAAAATAACAAAATTTTCTTTCTCATGAAAAAAATTAAGCATTCAAGTGATGCTAAAACAAATTCTATTGAGATCAATTTAGACTAAGAAGTCAGCCTTTTTTAGAAACTTACAGTTAAAAACTGGTGCTACCAATGCTGATCAGAATTCATTCATTCATACAGTCATTCATTTATCAAAAAACAATTATTAAATCCTTGCCAATAACCAGTTACTATACTAGGACCAATAGCTAGAAAGACAAACTAATTTCCATCAGGAATTTGAAGACTATATGAAAAGACAGGAAAATGAATACGTAATTACACCATAATGTGAGAAATGGTGTGCATGTAAGTCCTATGATAAAAGTAAGCAGAGGATGCTTTTGAAAAGGACTGCCAAGACACCTAGCCCACATTGGAGAGGTTAGGCAAGGCTTCGAGAAGGATATTATGCCTGAGTGGAGAACTGAAGGACAAGTAGGAGCCTGTCAGGTTAAGAGAAGGTAGGCAAGGCAGACAGCAACATGTGCAAAGGACACAAAGCAAGAGAAAGCCCAGTAGCTTTGAAAAACATGTCCCTCAATACGGATGGAGTACCCATAGGAGAGAGAAAGTCATGGAGATAAGGCCCCAGAGCAGGGCTTAGATTGTGACGGCCTTTTACTCCACGCTAAACAATTTGGCTTTATGCAGCAATGAGTAAATACTGAATGAAGCTTTTTAACCAATGGGATGACACAATCGCATATGCATTTTTGAAGGATGACTCTGTTGGCTAAAGAAATGATTGAAGACAAGTATGTATGGGACAATTAAGCAATTAAAAGTAAATGTTGAACATATATACCCCCAAAAAACCCCAAACCCTCTGTTATTGGAAGATTAGCCCCATGTAACATACAGAACAATATTGAGGTAGAGAGTCTCAAAAAAGAAAAGTGGTTGTTGCCGGGGTGGAGGGTAGGGGGTGGTAGAAACGTGTAAAGGTGGTCAAAAGCTACAAACTTCCAGTTATAAAATAAATAAGTTTTGTGGATGTAATATACAGCATGGTGATTATAGTTAATAATATTGTATTGTGTGTTTGAGGGTTGTTAAAAGAGTATATCTTAAAAGTTGTCATTACAAGAAAAAAATTATAACTATATGAGGTGAGGGATGTTAACTTATTCTGGCGATCATTTCACAATATGCATATATCAAATCATTATGTTGTCCTCTTTAAACTAATGCAATGTTGTATGTCAATTTCATCTCAATAAAACTGGAAATTTACATATTTTAAAAAAGAGGAGTTGGGAGCCCACCTGGTGGCTATTGATTAAGCTTGAGTGCTCTGCTTCGGCAGCCCCAGGTTCACAGGTTTCGATCCCAGGTGCAGACCTACACACCACTCATCAAGCCGTGCTGTGGCAGCATCCCACGTACAAAATAGAGAAACTGGAAATTCTGGCAAAGAAAGAAAAGAGCTCCGAGAAGTGAGATTATTGAGGGGAAGCAAAATTTCAACAAATACTTACTCATGTGAAAAGCAAAAGTATACTTTTATGGCCTGGGAGCAATTTTGAAAGACCAGGCCCCACAGGAAAACAAAGACACAAGGAGGAAAGAGAAGAGAGTAAAAAGGAGAAGAATGCAAAGCAGTAAAGGAAGGAATAGGGCAGCCCGCAGGGAGAGCTGCCACCACTGAAATTGGAAATGGCAATGTGGGCTTGAAGACTATGCAAGAACAGTTACTAGCAATGTATAGTTTAGAGATTCAAAAATATATGACCATCTGTGGGCAGCTCAGTGCCACAGAGTCATTCAGGGAGCCAGATTCCTTTCATTTTTTGGCTTATCATGCTTCTGGTGCCGCCCTCATCCACGTGGTGCAGCCTGAGTTCCCACAACATCCTAGTTCCAGCCCATCCAGAGGCTAAGAATGGTCATGGAATGGGACCAGCCTGATGGCATTAGCGCCACTCATCAAGCCATGCTATGGCAGGCATCCCACAAATAAAATAGAGGAAGATGGTCACTGATGTTAGCTCAGGGCTAATCTTCCTCAAAAAGGAAAGAAAGAAAAAAGTAAATGTCTGGGTCTCCAACGCATATGCCTCCCCCTCAAAAAACATTAAAAAAAAAAAAAGAATGCCAATGGAAGGCAAGTGATTTCCTCTAAAAGGTGATACACGCATTGCCCACATCACTTCCATGCTCCTTCCGTTGTTGAGATCTGAGTCATGTGACCACACCAACCTGCAAAGAACACTGGGAAATGTAGTCTCTAGCCAGGAGTTCTCTGACTAGGACAGCAGGGAAAGCTGGGGACCCACTGATGGTCATGACAGATACCTTCTTACCAGGGCAAATGGAAACAGAGGATTCTCCCTTATTTGTATAGCAATTTACATTTTATGATGTTCTGCCACATAACTTATTGCATTTTATTTTCATACCAATTCTATAAAGTAGGTAGAGGATGGTTTATTGTAAGGAGATGCATGTAAAGAGAATGTGATCAAATAACCCAACTGGATGGACTGAGCATCAAATCTGAGTCTGATGGCGACAGAGCAGGTGGTCAGGCAGCCAAGGAGGAGGACCTGCTCTTCGGATCCTCGGTCTGAGAAAGGGTCCTCCAGAAACCACCACCCAAAAGTACAAATGTACATACATAGTCAACAATCACAAGATTAAATGAGTGGAAAATAGATTCAAATAATTAGACTTTCAAGTAATATTTTTGGTAAATTTGTAGCATTTGTAATTCTGAAGTTATTGAAGTTTAAAACCAATCTAAGACTTTTGGGACCGTTGAATCACATGGATGATTATCTAATAAAGGTTTTGCCAGTCCCAAAAGCTCAGCAGGTCAGTTTTGTTGTTTTAACTAGATTGGTTGTTTTGGTTTTGGTCTCAATTCTGGCTTGTAGGAGGACGGAGATGGTTTATAGTGGAGTGTGCATTCATTTTTCTTCACTGACCATGATAAGCTAAATTTCCAGGCCTTTATTTCATAACAACTACATTATAACTCATATAATAATTTAATAAAGTAATATTAACAATGTAATCATTGGTAAAATTTATAATAAAACTGTAAAAGAATGTTGGCAAATCTGCCTCACACAGAAGTAAAGAGAAATGAACTTGTGAAGCATTAACGCTTAATATACATTAGTCTGGAGCTTATACTTTTCACCATTTCTTTAATGCGTTCATATTTCTCTGTTCAGAAAAGGTGAATTCTATTCTACACAACTCCATGTTTCTGCGCCTAACAAACACTTAAAATGTTTTTTTGTGATTTAGAAAATAAAAATATTAAAGTGTTATTTACACAATGGGATTAGAGCACTAAGCATTTATTTTTAAAAGTTTGAAGGTTTTGACATTCACTTTCAATATGATGGTAAAAAATTAAAATTAAAACAAAACCTCACTGTCCGATTTATTTTATGTCTTTCCAGATAGGAACCTGGAGCCCTACATGACATATGAGTACAGGATTTCTGCGTGGAACAGCTATGGGCGAGCATTCAGCAGAGCTGTTAGAGCCAGCACGAAAGAAGATGTACCTCAAGGAGTGGGTCCCCCCAGGTGGACCAAAATGGACAATCTTGAAGATGTGATAGTCTTAAACTGGAAGAAACCTATACAACCAAATGGTATTAAGCTACTTTTAAAATAAAAAATAACATAATCTTGTAAATCCATAAGGAAATTGAAATGAATGGAATCTACGTTTAATTGGCATGCATCTAATCACTAAAAAGTATTTGTTGATAAAGGGAACTTTAGGTACGTGCCAACTAATCCATTTTGTGAAATAGCTCTCAGAAATTTTTAGCCCCAAAAATTTTTTGCTTGAATCCCAGCGTATATTTGAGCTGCTTTTAAACAAGCAAAGCGTGTTAAGGAAAGGCAAACTAGTTTTAATATTGAAAATTGATTTGTTTGTTAGTGAGGGGAAATAAACAAATGACTCTTTGATTATCTATGTCAAGAATCCATCCCCATAAGTGTGGGTATAATTAAGAACTGCTTGAACATAGCAATATAACAGCAAATTAAAACTAAACAATGGTAGAGTATCTCATTTCTTCAGAACGCTAAGACGTGTAAGTTGGTTGCAAATAGTTAAAATGATGTGGCACTCAAATACAGGCATTTCTCTGCCTCTTTTAGGTCCTATTATTTACTACATTCTTCTCCGAAATGGAATTGAACGCTTTCGGGGACCATCACTGAGCTTCTCCGATACAAAGGGAATTCAGCCATTTCAGGAATATTCATACGAGCTCAAAGCTTGCACAGTTGCTGGCTGTGCCACCAGCAGCAAGGTAAGGGGAGTTTGCCCAAACTCTGGACAGAAGTACCCGTTCCGAAGACTATATGAATGTCCAGGTTGTGAGTGATTCTTCCAATGACAGAAAACAATGTCCTCCTCAAAATGGCATTAAGTTGGGTGTTCGTGTGGCATCTCTACGGACTGCTAATATTTAAGACTTAAAGAAAAATCACAGGAAGAGAGATTTATCCAAATAGTGTTTCATTAATAAACAAAGAAAACTTGCACCAATATTATTCTCTTTATCACACTTTTCCTCCAGCAGCTATTTTTAGATGAGTTTCTATAAATCCATAATAATTCCCAAACCATTCCTCAGTTTAAAAGGGTTTCTATTTAAATATCATTTCAACGAAAATTACCTGCTCTTGAAAAACATAGAAAAGGGCAAAAGAAGCTGGCCTAGAAAATAAAATAGTTCCAAGGCTTCTGCAACAGCCTTGGCAAGAAATAAGGAAGACTGGAACTCAAGCAACAGGGGTCAGAATGGAAAATATCAGAAAGATACAACAGATATTGGGGGACAAACTGGGGGACTACAGGACTTGGTAGTCAACTGTATGTGAAGGAATAAAAGGGAAGACTCATGGATATTTTCAAGATATCTGGCTGGAGCAGTTTGTGGATCATGGTGCCATTGTGCAAGCAAAGAAAAAAACAAAAGAGGAAGAAGTTAAAAGTAAAGAATCAGATTAAAAATTTTAAAGTTCTTAAAAATATACTTAAGAGAAGGAGCAGATAGCAGAGTGGTGGAAGAAAATATTTCCACCTTAAGTGAAAATGTCTAGTCAGAAGCTGGATTAAGAAGAGACTGAAGTTTTCTAGAAAGATCTATGAGGGATATTGAAGCAAGGAGTTTGAATGTGGGCATCTAAGGAGAATAGAGAGAGAGACAAAAGCAGAAGACCATGAATGGTGAGCATTGGGAACGCTACCTAATGAAGAAAGAAAATCCACAAAAGCGACTGGGAAGAAACAATCAACGAACTTAGGAGGAAAATAAAGAGGCATTTCACGGAAGCCAACCTAGCCAGAAGAAACCCAGGAGAGACAAACACACATGACAGCTCTGATTCTTCTCATGTGGTTAAAACTTTAGAACAGCATCTTCACATGCTCTACAAGAACCATCCAAATAAAACATTCACTCAGACAGGTTAGCCACAGTGATTGTGTGCAGCTTTTAATTCAACAGACGCCGGGGAACAGCTCTGAGCGTGCCGCCATTTAGACAGATGGCGGCTGATTGACCCAATCAAAAGTTAAGGTCCAAACAGTCCTAGAACAATTCTGTGCTTTTTGCACAGACGCAGCTCATGCCTACCAGATGCCCAAATGATTGGTTAAACAGTGGAATCAGAGTCAATTCTATGAAAAAATAAATGCAGCCCGTTTTCCTCCAGAATTATATTTGGACAATGTTGAAGAAATAACTGGTTGATTTATCCAGTTTTCCTTCTCACTTGGTTCTTTGCCTCAAACATTGATGCCGATGCTATAAAGTCATCCTTGGTTTCTTAGGAAGAGTACAGAAAAGTCTGCCCACTTACACTGTTCAAAGCATATTATATGCGAGCAAGTTCACATGTGGGTTTTGCTCCATATTTACTGGTGCTTAAAATGTACAAAATCAGGCTGTTAAAATGCAAAGACACTGATGGTCCATATGGGAGAGAGTTATCAAGAGTTCTCTAGTAAGACGGTCTGCCAGCCAGATTTTACTTGTTTAAATTGAGGGCTGTACTGCCGTCAAAACTGTTGTTGAACCTGTTGTGATAAATGGTAGTCTGAGACTTAATGTAATGTATTCAAGGTCAGATTTCATTGTTTAAATAGGATGGGAGGGAAAGAATAAAAAAAGAGGACTGTTTCTTCAAGCCCCTGCTAATGATATGCCAGGCCAAACAACAACATTTTAAAACAAAAGTGACATTCTCATTGATCAGAATACCTAGTGTACTATTACAATAAATTGCTGTTTAATTTCTGTTTTCAGGTAGTTGCGGCTACGACCCGAGGAGTTCCGCAGAGCATCCTGCCACCCAGAGTCACAGCCACCAGTGCAGAGACTCTGCATTTGATCTGGAGCGTCCCTGAGAAACCAAATGGCGTCATTAAAGAGTATCAGCTCAGGCAGCTTGGAAAAGGTCTCATCTACACCGACACCACTGACAGGAGACAGCATACGGTCACAGGTGAAAAAAAAAAAAAAGGAGGAACGCCTACTGGAGGAGTCTGTCATTGTGGTTAGGGAGGCAAAGCAGCCCAGCATCCCAGGGGTGTGCGTTTGATATATGAGGTCACTTCGAGAGGACATGTTCTCTTGACATATGGTCAGGTCCCACTTATCCATGCTAATAGAAGAGCCCACACTGGCAGCAATAAGCCACAACAGCAGATAACTTCAGAAATAATTTATATTTGGCTTTGATATGCATTATGTGTAGGGTTTTTGCATCAGTATTAACTTGTTTTTTCAGACAAACAGTAAGATGCATTTTCATTCCCCAAGGATGTGCTCATAGATAAGGGGATGAGGATAGCCAGGAATGTACTGGAAGGCAGAGGAAAATCAGCCAGAGTCTAACATTTATCTACTAATTAGGTAATTAATACACATAATAGTTGACAGTTGACTGTGACAATTTGTTGTTTTTATTATTATCATTAATTAGTAGTAATTGTATTATTTTTATTATTATAACATTATTTATTATAATTAGCTTTAAAAATATAATAATAGGGAGCCAGCTGGGTGGCGCGGTGGTTAAAAGTTCTCACGTTCCGCTTCGGTGGCCCAGGGTTCACCAATTCGGATCCTGGGTGCAGACCTATGCACCTCTTGTCAAGCCATACTGAGGCAGGTGTCCCACATATAAAGTAGAGGAAGATGGGCACGTCTTCCTCAGCAAAGAAGAGGAAGATTGGCAGCAGATGTTAGCTCAGGGCTAATCTTCCTCAAAATAAAAATAATAATAATAAGAGTACAGCATAATAGTAAAACGTTAGATAATTACTAGGAGTGACTATAATAATAATTAACTTGTTTTAGCTCGAAGGTCACTTCCAGAGAGCAGGGAAGCATTTTCCGACTTCCGCAGTCTAGAGGGCCTTCTCTAAGACACCGCCGTGTCACCTTGTTGTGTTTTCGTCATAGACCTCTGGCTGCCTGATATTTCCCTGTTTGTATTTTATTTGCCTTTCTATGTCTTCCGCCTGCTGGAATGTAAGCTCCAGGATTGCAGAGACCTTCTCTACCTAGTTCAATACTGTACCTCGAGCACCGAGAACAATCCTTGACACATCAGTAGGTGCTAAATAAATGTTTGAGGAACAAGTGAATTGCATGTGCCAAATATCGTCCAAGCACTTCTCATGTACTATCTAAGTTCATTCTCACCCCAAACCTAGGGAGTAGAGAGAATTATTACTCAATTTTACAGAAAAGAGTATTTTGAGAGATTAAGTAACTTAGTTCATTATTGGGATCTGTTGAATCATCCTGAACGGTCGTGTCAGTTTAGATCCTGAGACCACAGGCAAGAGTTGACAAACTTTTCCTTTTTCCCTGTGGTCAGCAGCCTCCCTTCTCGTGAGTCAATGCTCTCCTCCCGTTGGACCTCACACCTCGCAGGGGGCATTAATATTAGAGTTAATGAAACTCACAGAGAAGTGCAGAGAGACCTGGAAGAGTGTGCCTGAGTTTTCCTTAAAGGAGGCACAGGCTACTCTACACAGGTGGAAAAATAAACTCGTAGTGATTTGCTCTTAATTCCACAATTCCCTGACACACAAGCGAGCATTCATTGACAGATATCCGCTGTTTTCCAGAAGTACCATGCGCCTGCGGAAGGTGCTTAATAAATATTTGCAGAGCAGCACATTTCATTCCTTATCTGAAGATCCTGCGCCAAATCAATGATAATAGGCATGAGAAAAGCCCTCATCAGTTCAGATGATCAAATTTCTTCCTTATATCTCATTTCACTGAAAATGAAAATAATCACGCATAATTGAAAAAATGTTGTTTTACACAATAAAAACTTACATTTCTATGGTGCTTTGTAATTTTAAAGAACTCTTTGCATTTTGACTCACTTGATTCTCATCACATCCCTATAAGATAAGTGCGGGATTTGAAAGATGAAGATGAAATCTGACCTACTTAGGGTACCCAAGGCATTCCCTGCCTCCATCTAAAAGGAAATCTGAACAGTGTTTCATTCCAACTGGGTGTTGCCTGCTTGCTATGTTCTAGATAGTACACTAAGCGCTCTAAAATAAGCTGGCTGGTCTTAAGAAGCTCCCAGGAATAGGGAGCACTGACAAGTTAAGGAGGAGCTACAAATACAGTGAAATTGATGCTACAACAGACATGCCCCAACATACAGGATGCAGAGGGGAAAATTAAAAGAATGACTTGGAGTGGACAATAAATGTTAGTTAGAGAGTTTTGAAAGCCAAATTAAGGCACCTTAACACTTTGTATCAGTAAAGATTTCATAACAAACTGAGATACAAGGTTAAGAAATGTTCTTCTTCTTGCAATATCTGCCTGCTTAACCAGCACGGGCTTTGGACTGTTGCCAACTGTGCTGGTTTGCATTGTTTAGAAACCAGCATTTATATGCCAACAGACCAAAGTCAATTGTAATGTTCAAACCAACAGGATTGAGAGCCTCATCAACTATAAAATAATGCAAAGGTTTTTCTTTAAGCGCCTTCATTCCACCAGTTCTTTCTTCCGTTGTCATTTTTAATCGATGTTTTCACATCAGGGGGGATTTCATACATGTCACTTGATGCCAGAATTCATCTTTTATTAGAATCAATATTTTCAAATTTTTTTCCATGGAATTTTACTTTTTACAAAATTATAAAATGGAAAGAAGAGGCTGGTCTGGTGGCATAGTGATTAAGGTTACACACTCCGCTTTGGCGGCCCAGAGTTTGCAGGTTGGATCTCAGGCACAGACCTACACAATGCTCATCAAGCCATGCTGTGGCAGCATCCTGCATACAAAATAGAGGAAGATGGGCACAGACGTTAGCTCAGGGCAAATCTTCCTCAAGCAAAAAGAGGAGGATTGGCAACAGATGTTAGCTCAGGGGCAATCTTCCTCACCAAAAAAAAAAAAAAATGGAAAGAAGCCATTAGAATTCATTTGGTCCATCCCTCTGTACTGTTTTAAATAGATTTAGAGAGTACTTCACTTTGGTTTTACAGACCTAAAGAAAGATTTCTTTGTGGGATAAGGAAATAGGCCCTCATTCAACAAAACCTTACAAAAAAAAAGTATGGAGCTACCTATACGCAGTTCCTATGGGGCAGGAATGGTACTAGGCATTAGATAAGCTAAAACCTGAGGTCTACATAGTATTAATGCTTTTTATCTGCCAGGGAACATTCAGTTCCATGGTTAGCTGACTGACCAAATTCTAGTACAGAAGGATCTTATGATGTGAATGACTGTTTCATTGAGTTTGTGGGGATCAGAATTTGCCACCCCAAAATGTGTCTCTTTGGCTTGATTATTTTTGAGGACAAAAGACTCTGAAAGAAACTTTGACCTTCCCCCTAACTGCCTAAAAGTTTTAAGATAGAAGGCCTGTTTCAGGAAGAGAACTCTAGGTGTGGCAGACAGGAAGGCAGGAAGGCCCATTTCTATCAAAGTTTTCTCTTGGGTCCCACTGTCTATAGATGGCTCAGCAAATATTTGTTTACCAGACATTTGCTTTTCCATCTTCATGTGAATTACCTTCCTCCCCTTTGAAGTCCCAAACCACTACCCACAACATGTTCCTTTGTCTTTAACTCAAGATGGTATTTAAGGTGGTGGCTTCAGTCGTTTTGGCAAGTTAATCCGTTTTCCTGGGTTTCTCCCATGTATGCATGTTATTAAATTTGTTTGATTTTCTCCTGTTACTCTGTCTCATGTCAATTTAATTCTTAGAGCAGCCAGGAGAACCCAGAGGGTAGAGGAATAGTTCTTCCTCCCCTTCAAGTTCATAGAATGAACTAAAATAATCACATTTATTTCAGATTCCATCTCAAATATTTGATGGAAGAGCTGCTTGAACCCCCTGGGATAAATGTTTGGATTTTCTCATCATTTCCAAAACCTTGGCATTCCCTAAGTAACAGTGGAACACTAATAAAGCTGTAGCGCAAGTCACCCTGGAGCCTGAAAATCTAGGTCCTTAGCAACGACAGGAGGGAAAGCGAGCACCTTGCCTCTGCCCCATTGTCTCCATGCTGATTTTTAATTACATCGAAGCTTTAGAAACACGATCCCGTAAATGCTTTGTGGGAATAGTGGCGCATGCACTCATCATGTGAAATCCATAAATTGCTTATAATCCTCTCAAGATGTTAAAAAAAAAAAAGCATTAAGTAATTGAAGACAGGAAGTCCTCAGTTAATTATTTAGAGGTGTTATCAATGCTTTAAGTAAACTGAAGCATTTTCTGCTATCTCACTGAGCTGAATACCATAGGGACAAAGGAGAAGCAGCCATCAGCTTCTCACATTCGCTAATGCAAACAGCGCATGGCAGCTTGTCAATAAAAGACCTTTTCATATCATTTATTACTGAACATGTCCACCAACCTGCACAGAACAATTGGGATGTCAGTTATGGCATTGTTTCTCTTTGGGTTACCACGGCTTCATACACAGGCCTCCTAATGTGGGCAGTGGGCTAGAGGACAGAGGGAAAGGATTAACTAAATAATTAGGGCCACTGAGAACGACATGAATTAATCATGTCCTCTTTAGCAGCAGATATGATAAGGGCTTCTGTGTCTCTTAACTCTAGGGGGAATGTTTTCAAAATAATTCATTAAAAGTTGCTCAGCGTTACATTTCACTTAAGAGGGAAGACTCGCCAGCACTGAGTGAGCAAGGAGACAACAATTTTTCTCTTAGAAGCTCGTGGAAACCTCCTGTGCTAAGATTGCATAAACCCTAACGATGCTGGTTATAACAGAACAGGTACTACTAATGTGCCGACACAGGCATTGTACACATCAGTTTTGAAAAAAGAGAACATAGTTTGACCATTAATATCACAAAATGTGGAAATTGTTTATAAGAGGATTTTACATGTAGATAACTCTAGTATGTGCTCCACAGCATCCTAGACTTCGCTCTCATGGTATGTGTTATGCTTTATCACAATATCCTTTGTTCTTG